GGGGGGGGTGGTGGGGGGGGGGGGGGGTTGAGTGGAGAGAGGGAACCATCTTTTTGTGTGGTAAAGGACTGCTCCAAATCAAAATGTAACCTAGTATAGCTTCTATGGCATTTTTGAAGTTGGGTAAAAAGGTCCACATATTAAATGAACCCCCCCCCCCCACTTATGAAATTGCTCCTGCTCTAGACCTGTCATGAATATACTCGTAAAAACCTTTACTGGCAGTTTTATGGTATTACACAAGATCAAAGCACAGCTTCATAACATCAAATGCTTTCATCTAGAAAATTACAGTAACTTTTCAAAATTTTCCAATACCCAATTTTTTCTAATATTTTACTTCTTTCAAAATTAATTATTCTTTAGACACTCATAGCAAAGTGCTTTCCAACAGTAACATTAGACCATTTAACTTTTCAACACTTGTGTACCTGCATTTTGAAATATTGCTGATTTTTTTTCTTTTTACTTGGGGTGTGGTGGTTTAGGGCACCGTACCTCGAAAGCATCGGGAATTGTGACAGCAATATCAGGTCCTTTCATTTCGAGCCTATTGTATGGGGTGAGTTAATGCAGAGTTATGGAAAAAAGATGATTGTGCTCGGTTGCAATTTGCGATGCTTTCGAATTATGGAGCCCAGATTATTGGATAATTACCGTAATTTTACATCTACTAAACTATATGAGGTTGCAATATAGTCATTTCATTTTAGCTTCAAAGCTCAGGTACCACTATAAAGGTAGACCTGACAGCAGTTTTATTACCCTGCTTGTATGTATGAATACACACTCAAAGAACATCACAGAATCCTATAAACCAGATGAAATTAGAGCAACAAGATTAAGCAGGGCCATTACAAGTTTATTACAAACACTGTTAATAAATATAGAGAGATGGATATATCTCACCTAAATCTTCAAAGATAACATGCATTTTTTTATATGTTCATAAAACATGTATCAAATGTTGAGAAATTTGAACAGTATTGAAATTATTATGAATTATATGAATATATCCTTTCCAGCATTTTTCTTTTTTGTATTAGGTAAAGGAATTCTAGCCAAAAGCTCATTTTTTGCAAGATACAAGAGCTAGTGACCTGGTAAAGACATGGAAAAATACTACTTACGTAAAGGGTCACCATCCATTTTCACATAGGGTTCCTTTTCCTCTTCCTTGACCTCTGGAGCGCCCTCTATTGTCTGTGCTGTCTCCGTGGTGACGGGTACATCCTCCTCTAGGGGGACTATTTCAGTATCCAGGGGCTCAGATGGTTCTGTGCTATTGTCTCCCCCTTGAGGATCAGGATCAGTCTTTTCTTGGGCACTTTCACTTTCACTTTTGATTTCTGTTTCAGCAGCATGTTCCTCTTCTGTTTGCTCCTGTTGTTGTTGTTGTTTATCTTGTTCTTCCTCCATGTTCATGAAATGATTTTCTTTTCAGGAAGGACTTCAGTCACCACTGCACATACAGGAAATAAATCTATTCACTAATCAACAAGGACGTTACCTTTTCCTCGTCGCACCAGGTGAAAAAAAACTTGATCCTTTATCTATCTCTGGTGCTTAAAGAAATCTGAAAGCATAAAAGAAATTGTCATACACAATGAAAAGAGCACTGCCCTGAAGTCTTGCCTGGTGGTTATCTTTCTCAACAAAAAAGTGTACGTTTCTACAACTAATCTATGATATATGCAACTCCACAGAAATATCATTCACAAAACTTACCAGACCATGATCAAGTGGTATGTGACTATCACACTTAATCAACATAATCTTCACAATAAACTTTTCAGTTTTTTATGACAAAAGAACAGCTTCAAGACATATACAATCACTTTTCCTTGTGGCTTCTCTTTTCACTTTTTCTCAAGTGGAACGACAAAGACCAAGTGAGGTTAAGAAATAAAAGGGAAGTGAAGAATTAGTCGGCAAAGATTCACCTCACACAGATTCCTCCACAAAACCACACTGATGATGAATATTCTTTACATTCAGGATGTAATAAATGCCATTGCAATAAATGTTTGCTTAACTTTCACAAATGTGTACCTTTAAATTTTTTTAGAGCTTGTTCACTAGCAAATAAAAAAGAATTGTCAGCTAAACAGTTGATAAAATCATAGCCATATAAAATGAGAAAATTACAGAACAAAGTATAACAAAAAAGTTTTCAACACTCACATCACCTCATCCAGTAATGTGAGAAGTTAGGAGTAAAATATCCCTTTAAATATGGGTTTCCCCCTGAATAATGACATGCAAGGCAGTATACCTGTCAGAACAAAAATATCAAGAAAACAGGGAAGTCAATCTGCGGAATAACCCATTCCTTGTTAACACAAAGTAATAACCATTATGTATAGCTTCCTTCTGGTGAATGAAAGACTTATAGATTCACCTATAGCTGATATCTACATTCCTACTTAGAAAACCCTGTTTCAGAATCATGTAGAAATTTATTGAGGAACTCTCTCAAGCAGGAAAGTTACGTAATTGAGAAGTATCTAATTAGTGGACGATGCTATCTGAGCTTCATCGTTTTCTATGGAGTTCTTTCTTTACATAATTGTCTTTCTTTCTTGCTAAAATTATTTATCTATGAAATGATTTGTTCTAGTCATCAGTCAGAAGAGAACAGCATCTGCCAGTTGTTTTTGGAAGCTATTTTTCAGACATGTTTGATATATGAGGTCTTGCCTGATTAAATACATCTTATTATATAATTCCTGATATATCAAACTTAATTATTTTATCGCATCATATCCTTCATACGCTGACTTTATGGTTCAACACACATCTTTCCACTTAGAAATTTCTGGAGTTGTATTGAATTCTTTCACAATATTCTCACTCAATCTGTTTATCATCTGTCCTACATGGTTTATCTGTTTTGATTCATGTACGAGATAAGCAATTTTCACCCACTTTTTTATCTAATGGATAACACTCGATGATAGTTTATTCTGTCTGGTGATTTTACAGATGGCGAGAAAAAGCTCATCACTTCTTTCACTCCAGCTCTGATAAACCACAAGTAAATTTATCAATATGACATCACAAGTCCTAGAACAGCAATTAGCCTGGTATCTGCACAGTATGATTCCATCAAAAACTAGGGAATTACAATTACAGTCAGTTCAATGCTGCTTGGAAGACACTTGATTACAATACCTGTCTCTTGGTTTCAATACCTGTTTAATAAATATCAATTATAAAATGCCAAAAATCAAGCAAAGCTTCTCTTCTATTATTTGATGGCAAAAGCCCTCATCACCATTTGGCTTGATATATAAGATTTAGTAACAGGAGCTGTAACTACTGTAGGTTGCCTCTAGATTGAATCAGACATAATCTATCTCAGCACAGAGTGAATCCACTCAATGAACCAATTATAATTACCCCATGCTAATCCAGATAGAGGATAAAAGGGGATGAGTGGATAATCTCCTTGAACCAGTTCTAATTGATTAAATCAATAGTTACAACTGTCAACAGTAGCCAGGGCTTAGATGACTTCCAGGGCAAGTGCTTGACACAAGCTCCAGAAAGCTGGTCTTAACTATTAGGGTGCATTCCCATAGATTTAGATCGATCCTGAGATTTAGATTTAGATTAACCTAACTCATGGGGGTTCACGCTAAATTGCAGTCAGCCGAGCGCGCACCATAGTTAATTACCCCCTTACAGCTTTTAGAAGGCGGGACAGACTCTTAAGCTAGTAATCTAATCAGTAATCTAGTGAGACTCTCCACAGGGATAGATCGATCTAAAATCTATGGGAATGGAGTCTAAAATTCACCTACTTCTTGGTTCTCAAACATTTGCATCTGTACATATTCTGTATACCATCTTAAAACTAAGCTTCCAGCTGTAAATTGGCTAATCTGTCTTCTACAATAAAACTGTCACTTAGTGTAAACTTCTTTGACAACAAATTATATATTGATCTATTCAAACTCCAGATAAGAAAGAAAGATGAGACCATTAAAAATATGCATTGAATCATATAGGCCCGTAGCCAGGGGGGGCGGGGAGTTCGAAAGAACCCCCCTTTTTGCTGGAAAAAGGTCCACTCTGGGTAAAATTTGACCTAGGTACATGGGGATTATATGGTAAAAGGTCCACTTTTTCAGAAAAAGAACCCCCCTTTGAAATTGCTGGCTACGGGCCTGAATCATATACCAGCGTGGAGAATGTGAGGCAATAGAATGTTCTATTGGCATCCTCAGTTCATACCACAAATATTCCAAGTGTGTAACCTGATAAGGAGGGATAGTAGTTTTAGTACAGTGCCTAGAAGGTAGGTCCAGCTGTAAGAGGCAAACTGGCCAGCCCTAATGACCACAAGCGCACTCCTACTCCTAGCTGACACTATACAGAGCAGCCCTCCCAATGTCTCTCTCTTGCATAACATAAGCTAAAACCTCCCTCCCTCCATCTTCACTCTCTCTCTCTCTCTCTCTCACACACACAATGTTAGCTAAAATCTCTCTCTCTCTCTCTCTCTCTCTCTCACACACACACACAATGTAAGCTAAAATCTCTCTCTCTCTCTCTCACACACACACACACACAATGTAAGCTAAAATCTCTCTCTCTCTCACACACACACATACACACACACAATGTAAACTAAAATATCTCTCTCTCCATGCACAAAATGGAACCACTATTACTGATGAATCCAAATTAAGACAAAAGCAAGGCACAGACTACAAATGGAGTCACAATATAGCCTCTCAGGACGTCTCTCCAGGAAATAATCAACCATAGCGGATCTGGAACAAATTATAATTAGCTGCACCAGGAACAGATTAGCAAACACTGGCTGTGCTAGCTGATAGGATCCTCTAGTCAATACAACACCAATAAGGTTCTTACAGGATTAATACTAAATAGGCAAACTCTGATCACATATCTTTATATTCAATTCAATTCAATTTATTTCTGTACTGGTACATAGATTGTCATGACCTTGTACAATATGATATACAAATGACGATACAATACAGTTAGTGTATTACCATCTTTATATAATGAAGATAAGTACTAGTAAAATTACTCATAAAATATTCTATCTAAGCAATGAGATAAACCTTGGTGTGATTATAAATTTACCATAAACATACTATAAACATGTTACACAAAAAGAATATGTTTTTAAAGAACTTAAAACCACCGTTACATAGCTGTTTACATGGCTGCTTGATGACATTGATAATTACGATTAATGACAATTACATAAGACATATAAGTAAATAAGTTACACAGATATAAATATTGTGCCATGTTCAGTCCCATTGCCGAGTCACTTCTCACAACAGTGGGACCATACACTGACATTTTAAGGGGTATGCTAAGAGTTACCAAGCAGAGCAACCACTTCACTTCTTTTCTTAAATGATTTGATTATAAAGTTGGAGAGGGACACTAAAGTATCTTTGTTGGCACTGTTAAATACATGGCATAATTGACTGTCTGGTGGCCTTGAATCAGCTTTTAGGAATGAGGTTTTACTGAAAAAGGTGACTCGGTCTGTTTTTATAGGGGATGGTGCATTTAGGCCTATGGCATGCATGTGACCGTCTGATTACCAACTGGTGTCTGTCTTGTGCCCCTTCTCCCACTGCATATTGTTTTATATTTATCCATTTTTGCTTCTGTTACTTTCTTTTCTCTTACCCTCTCTCTCTTTCTCTACCAGTTCAAATCTCTTGTACACTAATTAGATATCTGGCCATTTGATGCCATATTTCATAAAAGAAACACATGAAATGTTTCATCTCCATATAATTACCCTGTACACTGTAAGTTACATGAAAATGTTTCCATACATGCCCATTCCGGGGACCATTCTTATCACCATTACCAGCATAGCAGAACACTATGAACACATTCAGAACAAGCTGATCCCTGGACTAACAGATCTGTGGATCAAATATGGCTGACTCACTTGGAACCTAATGTCGCACATTCCCCTAACAGACACTGAATAGATTCCCTGTGGGGATAGAGCGGTAAGCTTTCAAGTGGGCTGGCCATATTTGATCTGTGGATATGCTAATCCACGGGTCATTTTGTGAATGCGTCCTAAGATGCATAACCCAATAACAGACTACATACAAGTACATGAGGAGAAAAATCAATAAATCCCAGATGAAAACTTCTGATTTCTAACCGAGGAAGAAACCCCATCTTGTATCTCCACCTCACCCGACCTCTTGGATATGAAAAAGTATTGTAAGGTTGCATTATGTGTTTTAATGTCTGTTTCAGTTCTTTTTTTACAACTAGCACCGACTGGCAAGACAATGGTTTAGAAGTTTTAGTGGTGGCTTCATTTCGTTTGATCTCTTTTTATGTATGTCATCATGTGCCTCCATAGAAGAGGTTTTTTAATTATCACTTAGCTTGTTGTCAAAATACCATGCACATTATCTCAAAGAGACTAGTCTATTAATTACACACATTTTCCTCAATTCCAAATATTGGATATTATTAACCAACAATGCAACGTCAACTTGGCAATACTGAGCTAAGAGATTTTAAGAATGACGGTGAATCTTACATACA